TTTTTCCCATGGCAGTTCTCCATTTCATGAAATCATAGAGTTGGCAAGGACCACCTAACCTAATCTCCTGCCATGCAGGAATATACAACTAAGAGATTCCTGAAAGATACCCATCCAACCTCTGTTTAAAAACCTCCAAAGAAGGTGAGTTCGCCACGCTCCAGAGCAGTCTGCTTCATTGTTGAGCAGCTTTTCCACTCAAGAAGTTCTTCCTAATGTTTAGGTGGAATCTCTTTTCTTGTCATTTGAGCCATTGGTTCATATCCTTATCTCTGTCTGGAACTGCAGAAAATGAGCTCATTCCATCTTGCATATGTCACCCATTCAAATATTTCAAAATGGCTTTTCCATCTTCTATTCTCCAATCCAAACATAACCAGTTCCCTAAACAATTCCTCAGATGGCTTGGTTCCCAGACCTTGCAGTGTAGGAGCAGGCTAGGGAACTGCGTATGTCTTAGCTTGGGAAGAGATGGTTAAGACGTGACATGATAGCCCTGTTTAAGTATTTGAAGGGATGTCATATTGAGGATGGAGCAAGCTTGTTTTCTGCTGCTCCAGAGATTAGGACACAGAGCAATAGATGCAAACTATAGGAAAAGAGATTCCACCTAAACATTAGGAAGAACTTCTGGATGGTAAGAGCTGTTTGACCGTGGAACAAGTTGCCTCGGAGCATGGTGGAGTCTCCTCCTTTGGAGGTTTTTAAACAAAGACTGGATGGCCATCTGTCAGGAGTGCTTGGATTGTGTATTCCTGCATTGCAGAAGGGGGTTGGACTGGATGACCCTTGGGGGTCACTTCCAACTCTGATTTTATGAGATGTGTGTACTGGTCAAGGACCGAATAAATTGAATTGAATTGAGATGTGTCTAGAACAATGTGACTTTTTTTGCTGTATCTATTTTAGCTTTTGTAGGCCACCTTGGAGTCGGCGTGGTATAGTGGTTTAAATGTTGGACTACAACTCTCCAACAAGTCTATTGTGCATTTTGGTTGGCCAATAAACGTGTCACTGATGGGTTTTTGTTTGAATTTGCTAAATGGCCAACGCAGCTACCCCTGAATGTTTTCTGGAGACCAGGGTACAATTACCCACTTGGCCATGGAAACCCACTGGGTGACTTGGGGCAAGTCACACCCCTAGAAAACCTTGTGAAATGTTCACATTAGGGTCACAATAAGTTGAAAAAATAACTTAGAAACATGCAACATCAACAAAAGCCACCTTGAGCCTTGGACTGTAGGGGAACTAAGGAACCCTGTTAGTGAATTTGTTTGTTTGTTTGTTTGTTTGTTTGTTTGTTTGTTTG